GGTGCATCGGACTAGCCAGTCGCGAATGGAGGTGGAGAAGAGAGAAGGAGGAGAAGGATAGAGTAGTTAAGTTAGTCTGTCGGTCAGTGACTGCCTGACTTTCCCGGCGCAGCTGAAGGTCAACTCTCCCCTTCTCTCGACCTCATCCTCCTCGTCCACCTCCCGCTCCTCCGCCTCCTCGTCTTCTTCCTCCTCCTCCTACCCACTTCTCCACCACCCGCTGCTGAACCACTGCTGTTCCCTTCTTTCTCTCTACTCCTTCATCTCTCTCTCTCTCTCTTTCTCTCTCTTTCTCTTCCTCTTACCACGCTCCACCAACACTCTCCGTGTGTCCAGCCCCATCTTTATCCTATCCTCCTTCTCTCTTCCTTCCTTCCTCTTTATCTTCCTTTCCTTCTCGATGTATTCTTTGATACGCGCGCGTATGCATTCTCGTATACCGCTATACACACACCGTTTCTAAGCCTGCATCACGCTTTGTGTATCGCGCGAGCGCGCGTGCATGTGTTCCACTACACATGTGCGTGCACACACACACATGTACAAATATAGTATCCACGCCGCTTTGTTTATGCCGTACGAACAGTTTCGGTGCCTTTCCTCTTCACACCGTGTCACTCCATCCTTCTTCCGCCGCCGCTGCCCTCCTCGACGGGTTGAGGGTCATTCGTGCACTTAGGTGCACGCGGAATTCCGCCTCGAAGTCCTGGTACGTGAGAACTCGCCTTACACAGTCACATCCTCCACAACGTATTTCTTTTCTCATCCGTTGCTCCTCTCCTACGCAAATGTACGATGTAGACGATCGAAATTTACGTTTTTCGAATCGTAGTCGTGAACTATTTTTTTTTTTTTATTTCGATGGAAATCGTGGAAATCAACGTGGAAAGATCGGATAAAAATGTTTGCATCGATCGTTGTTTGCCATCGATTAAATGGCATCATACGTGTCAATTGACATTGCCGTCTTTGTTGATCGCCTTTCCATTCTTTTTTTCTTTTTTTTTTTTTTTTTTTTTCC